CCCCCCCCCTCTCCCTCCCCCTCCCCCCCCCCCCCCCCCCCCCGTGCCTGGCTCTATAGCCTTTGCACCCAATAACTGTCACAGGGTGCTAGTGGATTGGCTGCTCCTTGGGCCGGGTGTAATCCCAGTAATTCCTTAACACGGATGGCCCAGGACCCTCTGGGATTGCCTTACAGTACCCATCTTGTTCTGTCACCCACTCCACAGTCTGCTGTCCAGCGGGGCCCCTTGCAAAGTACTATATCACCCCATCACCTGCCTGTTCCAAGTATCTGTCTGTTCAGCCACAAATGTCCACCTGGCCACCATCCTCCAACGCCTACGACAGAGTGAGTCCTCTCCCTGCTGGGCTGCCCATGACTATACATACACAAAGTCCCCTGCAGCCCAGGCTGGACTCACGCTGACCATGCAGTTGATTCTTGGTCCTCCTGCCTCTACTGCCTGAGTGCTGGGATTACAAGTGTGTGATACCCAGTTTACACGGGGCTCTATGATTGCTAGGTAAGCACTCTCCCATCCAGGCTACAACACCATCTCTTTCCTGCCTCCTTTCCACATGACCTGCCTTCCCTTGCCAGAGGACACCCAGAAATGACTTTCTGCATTTGGGAAGAAAAATGATCTGGGGATGAAATATAAATGACATCGCAGAAAGCCGCTGTGTTCCACAGTCTTGTGTGTTCAAGACAACAGCACCGGAGCATCCATTGAAGGTCCCCAGGGCCTATGGTGTACGCCTTTTTTCTTCTCAGTGATGTCACATTGAAAGCCTGAGGATTTCTGGATATTTCCTCCCTCAAAGCCATCTGTCTGCATTCACCATCAAGCCACTGGTAGTTGACAGCAGCAGGGAGGGAATGACTGACTGGACAGTTCTGATAAATCTGAAGAGAGTCCGTCTCCTTTGTCAAGTTTATTTTATTAAAATATATAGGACTGAATATTGGTGGGCACTGAGACAGGAACCACCCTCCCAGGCTGCACCCAAGGGAGACGCTTCTGCCATGCAGACATGCGGCCAGTCTGTGTCCCCCTGCAAGGGGGACAGACCCCCTGGTTGGGCGTGCAGCCAGAGGCTAAGGGGTGGGGCAGGCTAGAATGGTAATCTTCTCCTGTGGCCTTGGTTTCTCACAAGCACAGGAACCCCAGTGGGAAGGGCCAGGCTGGGGTAGGGGAGGTCCCTGAGCCAGGGAAAGCTGATGGTCTCTAGATGGGGTGAAGGGGACCCCCAATCAGGATGGAGATGGGATCAGTGCAGCCCTGAGATGGGAGTCCACCTGTGTATGGGGGTCACTGTCACCCTGCCTTTCCTCTGGAGACTTCCCTTATCCTGGGGCTGGCCTTCTGGGGAACACCCAGGGACTCTCAGAACTGGGCCTGGGCAGAGACTGGGCTGCAGTTGATGGAATGTATTTTGTGGGAATGTTCCTCTGGGTAACATGCTGCCTGGGACATGGTCCCTTATGGGGGAGGCCTGGGCAGGCAGGAACAGCTCTCTCTCCTCCTGAGGGTCTGTTGACCTTGCCTGGTCACAGGTCCCCATGCTCATGGCTAGCTTCAGCTTAGAGCTGATGTGGTCTCCCATCCCCAGGGTGCAGCTCAGGCGAGCACAGTCCTCAGGTTTGTGCTTTAGAATGTTGGCGAGCTGGGCTGGGGAAGAGCTGTGAGACCCCCAAGGCTCTGAGGCACAGGATGGATTCTTCCTCGGGTCACTGAGTCAGGGCTGCGGGGACACAGATCCCCACCCCCAACCAGGGAGCCCCCTGCTTCCCCTTGTGGGCATGGCCTGAGATGCTAGGGTGTTTGTGCTTTTTGTATGGGTTGGGATGAGCCTTTTCAAGGGCAGCCACAGTGCTGTGGCCTATCCATTGTGACAAGGAACTGGGTGGCAAGTGGCCAGGGAAGAGGAGGGAACCCCCCTCCACCCCCAGGCCTTTCCCATACAGTCCAGTTCCCTGGTTATCAGTCCCTGAGCCAGGTGACCCCCCCTCTAGAACCAAAGAGGACCTTGGAGAGGCCAGCCTGGTAGGAGTTGGGAGAGCTCCGCCCACCACATTCCCATTGGCCAGCTGATAGTCTGGTCCGTCACCCAATAGTGTGGACAATTTGTTCCCCCAGCGTCTCCAAAACCCTCCATCCTGCCCTGCTCTTAAAGGACATAGCCCAAAGGCCACTCAGCCCACAATAGGTGGCCTGGCCCTGCGGTTCTAGGACCCCAGATGAGCATTAGCATGAAGCTACAGGCTCAGCTTCGATCAAACCATCATTTTATCACTACTCAGACCTCTTCCCTCTTGGTCCCTGCAGGGTTTCTGGGAACTTCCTAGAAACATAGGTCCATGGGCAGGGAGTAGCCTGGTCTCTCAAGCAGTAGAAAGGACACAAGGGACCTTCGCTTTTGTAGACCAAGCCCTCTTGGGCTCTGAGCTCCTTCTGTGTAACATCCAGGGCTGGCCACCCCAGAGGTAGCCTCATCTATTGACCTGGGAATAGCTGGGGGTGCCTTCTGGCTGCCACCTCCTCTGCCAAGCCAGAGGAACCGTGTGTGTGTGTGTGTGTGTGTGTGTGTGTGTGTGTGTGTGTGTGATAAAGAGAAAGACTGTGTCTGTGTGTCTGTCTTGGGAGTAAACTGTTCAGTTTTTGCAAATATATTAGAAAAATGTTTCTCATAGAGGCTGCTCATGTGAGGCAGGATTGAGGCTTCTCCGGGCTGAGAAGCAATGACCACCCAGGGTCCCCTCCCATGTGTCCTAGATGACATTCTCAAACAGTTGCATGGAGCTCATGATGTTCTCGTCCTGTATGGAGAAAGGAGAGGATGGTCAGGAGCTGGGCAGGGCAGTGGCAGTCCCCAGTCCTGACTAAGTACAGATTCCTGTCAGGGACTATGTCTCACTGGGGAGATGGGGTACTGAGGAGAAGTGGGGAGTAGCAGGTCCCAGAGCCCAAGTGGCAAGGTACAGTCTGTCATCCATGGTGATAGACTGCAGGGCCATCACTGATGCACAAAACCCTCCTGGTTGCAAGTCAGTCAGGGACCAGGGGTGGTTGAGAGGCAGGAGGCAGTGGTGTGTGTTTCCTGTCCCCGAGGACTCTGAGAGGAGGGCCAGCAGCAGAGCCAAGGAAGCTCTGGAAACCTTTCCTTTAGTGTGATTCTGTCTGGGGAACAGTGGGCTGATCACCCTCCTGCTGACCCCATGTTCACTCTCTGACTGGAGGTGTCATGAGAAAAGGTGAGAGAGGGTCTGGGGGTCAGGACTGGGTGAAGGAGGGAGAGGAAAAGTTCAGGGGACAGCAAGGCATCCTCCTTGTGCCCTGGCAGGATCCTGTGTGTGAAGAGGGAGGGAGGGAAAGAGAGAGAGAAACACACATACACACAGAGAGGGGGGAGAGAAAGAGAAAGAGAGAGACAGAGACAGAGACACGGAGAGGACAGAGACAGAGACCACAGAGGACTCCAAGCCCAGCCACCTACCTTTTGACAGGTCTCCAGAAACTCGTCAATGGTCACCACTCCATCCTGGTTCTTGTCCATTTTCTGCAACCCAAGCCATGCCCAAGGTAAGTCTGTCTCCCTTAGGGCCTTCCCCTACTCCAGCCTGAGTACACTGTTGGGGTGGGGGCCTTCCTCCAACTCAACTATTTCCCATCCTTTCCAGCCAACCTAACCCTTGGTGTTCCTCAGATGGCCTGCTTAGGGGACTCCTGCTGGCTCATCTTAGCTCAGCGTCCCAGCATTCCCTCTGAGCCTATCTAATACCTCAACTTTGGGACAGAGGCCAGTGCTTCAGAGGCACAGGATGACAGAAGTAAAATGGAAACCATTGGCTCCTTCAGCACCTCAGAATAGAGGCAACCTCAATACTACTCAGGTAGGGTGGGAGGAAGGTACTTGCTCTGAATATGTCCCCAAAGGCACTGAAACACTGGTCCCTGTGTGGTGGCACCTCTAGTTGCCCAGAGTACTTCATTTTCCAGATGAAGTTCGCCAGGATGGGGCCTGGGTTTCATTCACTCCCCCAAGGGACTCTGACCATCAGCTAGGGTGGGGAAGCCCAGCTACATCTCTTCACTAGCATTGGCTGAAGGCTCAGCGAGAGTAAGAGGCTCACTAGGGCTGCCTCTCCTCCCCATCAAAGAGCAGGATTCACACACCTGGAAGAACCTCTCCACATGCTCCAGAGGTGCGTCCTCCCGCAGGACAGGGTAGGTGTGGCGGCCCATCATGTCATAGATGGATTTCATGATGGCCAGCATCTCCTGGAGGACAGGGCTGTATGAGCTGCTTCCACTGCAGACATGCCTGGGGGTTTGGAGTGTTACCCCCAAGGGCCAGGCTACCACCAGGACAGTGGTGAGTGAGTTTGAGGTGCCTGCCAGCTACAGAGAGTAAGCTGTCTCCTCCTATACAATGACTCCCAAGAGAAACTGGAGATAGATTTTTATGTTAGGTAACTTCTCCAAACAAGAAGCTACAGTGATGGTTTCAGATGAAAATGCTTGGGCCAAACCAGACCGTCTGTGGGACTGTGTGGTGAGGTCACAAGGCAGGGCTGAGAATCACCGGACTAGTGGCATCAGAAGAAAAGGGGAGCCAGGAGCTCAGGAGAGGAGGGACAGGAAGGTCTGCCAACCCAGTACCTCTTTGGTGATGTAACCATCCTTGTTAATGTCATAGAGATTGAAGGCCCACTTGAGCTTCTCATGGACCGTCCCTCGGAGCAGGATGGAGAGCCCAACCACGAAGTCCTGTAGAGGGAGGGAGGGAGGGTAAGGAGCAGCAGCCATGGCTGGGGTTCCCTTTCCAGCCCTCCATGTGACTCCCACTGAAAGTCACACTCCTTCAAATGAGAGTCTTCCACGGTTGAGTGACAGATGTGTCCATTCAGGTGGTCAGCACGTGAGTGTGTGTGCACATGTGTGAGGTTGTGTGTCCTTACGTGTGTGAGCACATACATAACTGTGCCCGTGTATATGGCAGTGTGTGTGTGTGTGTGTGTGTGTGTGTGTGTGTGTGTGTATGTGTGTGTGTGTGTGCGTTTGCGTGTGTGTATGTGTGTGTGTGCTTGCATAGTCACCAATATTGACTCAAGCAGAGACCCAGCTGCTAGTTTGGGGTCTTGTGCTCATCTCATGTATGTCTGGGGTGCTCCTTCAACACCGCAGAGTGTTCTACTTTAGTCCACTAAGCATCTACAAGTCAAAGGTCTTGGAACACTTTTAGCTTAACAAGCAAAGTGCACAGTGTTCAGAGTCAAACTGGTAGACTACCGCCACCTGTGGGACGTGACAGATAACATGACAAGATGCGAATGTTCACACTGTCGCTGTGTACGAATCCCAGCTGGAAGGCATGGGAAGCAAGCTCTTTTCTCCTCCCCACCACAGGGTCCTCTTTGGCTATTCTGAAAGGAAGGGGATGTCCTGGGGAACTGCCAATGGAGGCTGCAGAGGGACAGGGTAGAGCCTCAAAGGATTCAATCCCTACTCCCAGATGAGCCTTTCTGGCCACAAGGAAGCCTGTATGACAAGAAGGAGAGACCATGGAAAACAGAAAAGCAATTTGTAAGGAACAGAACATTCTAGAAGAAAAAAACATAACAAAAACAAGGAGATGCAGAGGTTAGAAACCTGGCATGCCTTACAACAAAAATAGGACACTGTTTAGAAAAGAAGAGAGAGGAATAATCTAAGACTAAGACCAGAAAGAGCTCAACGGTTGGTAGGGATCAAAAAATGACAAAAGAGGGTTTGGAGGAACAAGTGGGGTCTTCCAGGAAGTGGGGACACACACACACACACACACACACACACACACACACACACACACACACAGAGAGAGAGAGAGAGAGAGAGAGAGAGAGAGAGAGAGAGAGATCCCAGGGGACAGCACCAGGACAGAAACTCCAGGCAGAACCAGAAAAAAAAATGCAGCAAAGTGAGTCAGAGAAATTGGGAAAGATTTCCCAAAGGCAAAGCTAAGTTCCCAGGCCCCACCCCCAACCCTGCAACTGGCACAGTGTGTGAGATCAGCTGCAGCTGAACCCATGGCACAGGTCCTGGTGAACCTTAGCAAAACTGGCTGCCAAGAGAGGGATTCCATGGAGAAACACAAAGCCAACTTGGAGAAACCAATCAATATCAATCATCCATCCATCCGTCAATCATCCATCCTTGTCAATAAGGTCCACACACCTGATCAGAATCATCTGGTGGGGCTTGTTGAACAATAGCCCTGGGGGAATGAAGCCTGAGAAACAACCTCCCCACAAGTTCTAGTCCACGAAGCATGAAAGACAGGAAGGGATAAAGGTAGTTCTGGATACCCAGTGTCTCAAAAGTCACTTCCCACATACTCTTTCCAAGGAGCTGCTGGAAGATGCGCCCTTGAAAAGAGAGCAAAGCCAGGAAGAAGTTAAAAGATTCCTCAGTCTAGGGGACTTGACCTGGGGGAAAGAGGAAGCGGTCCCATGGGGCCCGATGGAGCTGGGTATCACTCACACTACAACCTGAATCCTGCAGTCAGTTGTCAAGAGGAGGATGGAAAAGGTGTGTGCTCAGGGAGGCTTAAGACATCAAATCTAGAGAGGACAGCCCAGAAGAGTCATGGAAACATGTTACAGGGAGACCTGAGGCCTAAAACTTTGGTGTATGGGCCTAAAGTCTGCCCTGTCAGTCTACTGGTCTTGGGGGTCATGAAAAAAAACTATTCAAAGGAGAAACAAGGTGGTATTTTTTACACTCTTTCAGCTTGGGAAATAATTACCAAAGTGTGGGTGTGGTTTACCAAAGCAAGGAAGATTTAAAGTCATCCCTGAAGTGGTAACAATCCACCTTCACACTGCTCACCCGACAGGCTTTCCCTGTGGGAGGCTGAGGGAGGGGTGCGGTGTCTAGCTTTGGGAGCGATCCTTCTCAAGTAGGCCACAAGGGAGCGCCAGCACCCTCCTATCTTCTAGAAACCTTGCGTTTAGCTACATAGCCCTCAGCTAACAGAGCCTGCTAACAGACTGACTGCCCCTGTAAGACCACCGGAGGGCCTCATTTGTCAAGATAAGCAGCATAATTTCATAATTTCATCAGTCTGAACTGCGGTCTCCAAGGTGTAAGCCCCCAAAAGGTATCGGGGCATACCCAGGCTTCCAAGTCAAGATTCCAAAGATGAACATAAAGAAGCTGGTAAGAACTAAGGGTGATGAAAGTTCACACCATATTAGGGAGGCCAACTTGGTTAGTAACATGGAAGCCATTATAGGGTAAGTGTACCGTACAAAGAAGTGGCTACACCGGCCAGATATGTGATGGCTTCGCTTTCCAAATGGAGTAGCTTGTCCAATGCCATTTCTAAGCTGGGTACCCAGGAGGCACCCATAGTTACTGAAGTGTTTGGAAAGCTCTGTGCTTTTCTGGCAAGATGAACTAGCTGAATTGAAAAGGGCCTTTGTGGCATGGACTGTTAAAGCACATCCATGTTCAGCACTGTCCACAGCAGGGAACGAGGGAGGGACCCGGGACCACATCCACTTGGCTCTGCTGGGGTTTGCTATTTTTACTGTTTTTGTTGTTGTCATTCTCATTTTGTCAAGGGATGAGAAGTTGTAATTTTTTTTTTCAGGAAGGTTCTGAGGTGTTGAGTTAGGTTGAGTGTCTGCCAGAGCACCCTCCACCCACCTGAGAAGATCAGGAGGCTCCTGGGATCCTGGCCTGTGGGACATACACTACGATGGAGCAGGGGAGACATGTGACCCTCCCTTCCTGCAGAATGCTTCCCAGAGCAGAATGCCACAACCAGGAAGTTCCTCAGTCCCCTGAGAAGTGTGTGGAAGACTGAAAGATAGCAGTGCTGGATGGCCTAAGAAGGTGGCAGAGGCCCCATCTCAGCGGCTGACGTGGCCTACTTCCCAGACACATCACCTACTCCAAGATCCCTCTCTGTGTCATATAGGAAGGGTCCACATGGACAGTAAGTGATGATCACAGGAGAGGGTAGGCACCATGATCTTCCGGGCCCATGGACACACAAAGGGGTCCTTGGAAGCTGACTGAAGGGCTCACTGATGAGTAAGTAAAGCTCTCCCACATGGTTGTGACTGGGTACCTCTCGATGGATTCCTTTCCATGCTCCTCCAAGAGGCTCTGTAGCGGGGGGAGGGGGGACCCCAGGAACTGGCCACAGGGGAAGCCTGGGAAGGTCACACAGTTCCCGGCTAGCTCCATGTTCTCATTATCTTTTCTATGCACAATGACTTTGGTGTTTCAGGTGTTATTGAAAATAAGTGGTAACAACACAGTGTGTATACATAGGCCATGGCTCTTCTGGTTGGGGCGGGGGCTGTGGTCACAGAGCAGAGCCCAGGCTCCCAGGCCCATCCAGCGTAGCACTGTGGCTGGTGCTGTGTAAAAATAACCCAGTGGCATTATTGACGAGTTATTATTACCCCAGCCTGGCTGTTCATGGCCTTTCTGAGCTGTGTGCTTGCTAGACCGCTTTCCTGCTGGCCGCCCTTGGCCTTGGAAGCCAAGCTGGGGCACTTATCGATCAGGCTAGCTCTCAGTGAGGTCCTCTCCGAAGAGGTTTCAGCTTTTCTCCTGCAGCTATTTTTAGGGACCTGGCTCCACAGATGGGGCCTGTCTCAAATGACTGCATGTGGCCAGGCCTGGGAGGGACCCATGATACCACTGCCCATGGGGAGCCCAGGCTGTCTGGAATGACGTGGAGAGGGGGAGGGTTCTGGCTTCTTCCCCACTCTGAGCAACACTGGCTATCACTCATGATATCTAGCTGGGATAACAACCTGGAGGCCTTAAGATCACTCAATATGTTTTCTGGGTGTTTCTGACCTGTTTGCTTAGTAATACGTTCAGGAACAATGATTTGAAACCCCACTATTAAACCTTGATCCATTTGAGAGCCCGGCATGGTAGCTCATGGCTGTACTCCAGCACTCTGGAGGCTCAGGCAGGAGGATTACTAGTTTGAGGCCAGCCTGGATTATCCAGAGAGACCTGGTCTCAAAGAACCCAAACCAAGGGTTGGTAAAATGTTAAGGGCACTTGCCACCAAGCCTGACAACCTGAGTTCAATCTCCAGGACCCAAATGGTAGAAGAAAACTGACTCCCTGCAAGTGACTCCCTCCACACACTTGCTGTGGCATGTGCCTCTCCCCAAATACATGGCAAAGAAAAATTTAAAAATCCTTCACCTCTTTTAAAAATGTAGAATTGTGTTGGCTCCCTGCCAGCTTCCCTGGCTGGCTAACTCCCAGAATGGAAGAGAAAGCTAGCTAACTGCCAGCAGTCCACTTGTGTCCTGAGTGACATGTGAAAGGCTCTACCCATCAACAGCCCTAAGAAGTTGGTACTGGGGCTTGGGGACCACTCCGAAGACCACAGGGGCAGGACATGTGGGTCAGCAGGGGCATACCTCAAAGTGGATGGCCCCGTTCCCATCAGCATCAAAGGCATTGAAGAGGAAGTGTGCATAGGTGGTGGCATCTGCAGAGAGACAGGGCAAGGCTGGAGTTGGGTTATCTGATCGTCTGTTCCAATCTCACACAGTCCTGCCTGGAGCTCATGACCGGTGGTGGTTCCTCTCTGGTAGGTCAGAAGCAGCATCAGGCCCTCTCCAAAAGGGAAGGGTGGCTAGGAAGTTGGGTATGGTCATGAGGCTCCCTCCCCAGAAAAGGGGCACAGTCAGGGCTTGGAAGTCATGGGGGAGGCCTGGCCATGGACTTACCTCCCTGGGGGAAGAACTGTGAGTAGATGACTTTGAAGGTCTCTTCATCCACCAGGCCTGTGGGACACTCCTGCAGTGAGAAGACACACCTCTCAGTGGCCTTGACCACTTCTGGATCCATGCCTGACTCCACAGGGCTGACCTCTGTCCACCCTTTGGGAGGATGAGGTACCTACTACTTGAGGCACAGCTGTGCCCCTCTGAGCCTTGGGTTAATGAAATATTTTTGTAGGCAAGGCAGAAGGCTCCCTTCATGTCAATGCTGTCCCAACTGGTACAGAATTAGAGGCCCTCACAGAAGATCATGGTGGCTTTCCCAGTATCCATGCTGATCCCCCCAATAACTCTCCCACAAAATATGAGGCCCACAAAGACCCCATTTCCCGGGTAGGAGGCAGGAAGGTAGGTCAGGCTCCCTAGAGACTCTAATGGGGACTGGGGACACAGGGGCACTCACATTCTTAAAGCCTCGATAAAGGGACTGCAGCTCCTTCTTGGTGAACTTGGTTAGGGCCTGCAGCTGGTCCAAGCCCTCTGGCTGGTGTCGCACCGTGGACAACTCCAGTTCACTGTCACTGCTGTCTGGAGGAGGACATAGACCCAGCATGGAGAGAGACATGTGGTGTGGGCAGGAACCAGGACACAGGTAGAAAGAGAAGGTGGAGAGAATTTCCTTGTGTGACCACCCTGTGCAGTCATGCTGGCAGTGCACAGCACAGATGGAGGGACTATAATGAAAGGGACCCTGAGGGGTTGTGCCTTTTGGCTGTTCTAAGTCTCTGTTCCTCCATGGTGTAGGTCCTTCTCTATTCCCCGAACATATCTACTCCTCAGCCACATAGGAGGGAGACATGAGAGAAAGATCTCATGACAAGACACTATTTTTAGACTCTCTCTTCCATGCAGCCCTCCTTGACCTCACCAGGAATGGGAAAGACACCCATCTTGGTCCACCCTAGCCTGATGAGCTTGCTGCATAGCTGGGTAGGGGCAAGGTCATTATTCCCATTTCTATAATTCCCATTTTTGTTAAAGACAAACAAACAAAACAGCACACCAGAGTGTGTGCCGGGGCTGCATTGCGATAGAATGAGACTTCTGGTAATTTGTTGTAGTTATCAGACCCCCCCCATACATTTTCTTGGGAGTGGCATGTATCTTGTTCACAATACAAAAAACAAAAACAAAAACAAAAACAAAAACAAAAACACCCTCTGGACAAGAGAACTGCCAGTGCCTACCCCTTGTGGGTAACAAGTTCTCAAAGTGCTTCGTCTTCCACTGACAGAAGTGTAGAAGATTCTTTGTACCACATCCATGTCTCTACCAGCAAGGTCAGTCAGAGACTGTACAGCCTGCCTGCCAGGCCTCAGGGCAGCCTGCACACACGGGGAGGCCCAGCCTCAGAAGCTCCTCATGTTACCCTGGCCAACTACATACGCTGGCTTCTAGGTGAAAATGTGATCTCTTCCTTCTCTTATGTTTCTGTGCTCCTGCATCATTTAGAGCAGTGGTTCTCAACCTTCCCAATGCTGGGACCTTTTTAATTCACTTTCTCATCTTGTGGTGATCCCAACCATATAATTATTTTAGTCGCTACTTCATAACTGCAATTTTGCTACTGTTATGAATCACGATGTAAGTACATGTCCTTTGATGGTCTTAGGTGACCCCTGTGAAAGGGTTGTTCCACTCAACAAAGGCGTTGTGTGTGACTCACAGGTTTCAAACTGCTGATTTAGAGGATGTACCCAAGGGGAAATTCCCCAAAGTGCTTTGCAGACCACCCACCTGTATGCTTCCCCTCCTTCTCCACAGTGTGGTGCCCTGTCCTTAGTTAAGGTGAACTCTTCCATGTAGTCAGTGGGTCCCAGTCCTCAAGCCTGGGCCCTCTTCAAGTTAACTTCTCCACCTCTTTTTCCCTCTCTTCGGTCATGCCCATCTCCATATAGACATACTGGGTTTTTAAAACTTTTGTGACACTGAACTTGAATGCAGCACTTTACACAGGCTGGGTGAGTGTTCTACCACTAATCTGTACCCAAGCCCTGGGCACACTATTAAATCTGGCTACCTATTAGATGAAGCCCTAGCAAGACACAAGTGAGCCTGCAAATCCCATGAGGATTTGTCCCCAGATAGGGCCACCTGCACAAGGACGCTCACAACAGCAGTGAGATTTTTGTTTGATTAATTTTTGTAATCAGATAGGGAACTAGAGACATCTTTGCCTATCATAGCAGGATGGGCAGACAGATGTGGAGGGCACATCCCTGGGAGGAGCCTTTGGTGTGAGCTGCACAGAGCAGCGTGGATGCCAGAAGGAAGGGCTTGCCTTCTTCAAGAGGCATGCTTTCTACAAAAGTGATACCCTGAGTACAAAGGCACAGGCTGGGCTGGAATAAAAGGGGAGAGGAAGGATGAGAAACTCAGAAATTTCATAATGAGAGAATTATTTCATCCCAAAGACAGACCAATACAAAATATGTTACATCACTTAAACATAGCTGTTAAATATCTGAAGCAAAGTAAATAAGGAAATAAAAAAAATCAGAACTACAGGGAGGAACAGATACAGCAAAATCATAGTTGAAGATATGAACATTCTTTTTCAGAAATGGCACAAGTAGATATAAAAGATTCAGAAGCCACTACCAACCAATTTGATCTAATTAATATTTATAGAACACCATACAGAGATTGTAGAATACACATTCTTTTCAAAAGCCTACCCTGCAGTTGCCAGGATATACCAGATATTGGTACATAAAATGGATCTGACCACAGTGGTAATAAGTTAAAATTCAAATAAATGTTTAGAAAAATCTTAAGTGTTTGAAAATGAAACAATACACTTGCAATAAAGCCCAAAGGTTGGAGAAGGAAAACTGAAAGTTAAAGTTTGAACTAAATGATAGTGAAGACACAGGCTGTCAAGATCTGCTGAGGGCAGGTAAAGTTGTGCCCAGAGAGAAAATCATAGCCTTTAAATTCTTCTACCAGTTCATGCATGGTAGCACAGGCCTTCGATCCCAGCACTTGGGAAGCAGAGGCAGGTGGATTTCTGTGAGTTCAAGACCAGCATGGTCTACAAAGCAAGTTCTAGGACAGCTAGGGCTGTTATACAGAGAAATCCTATTTTAAAGAAGGAGGAGGAGGTGAAGAAGAAGAAGAAGAAGAAGAAGAAGAAGAAGAAGAAGAAGAAGAAGAAGAAGAAGAAGAAGAAGAAAGGTACTCGGCCACAGTAGCCCATGACTGTAACCCAGTATTCAGGAAACTAAGGCAGGAGGATTACCATGAGTTCTAGGCCATTCTGGGTTACAGAGTAAAACTCTATCTCAGAAAAGCCAAAAGAAAAGAAGATGGTGAATTCAAGGCTAGCCTGGTCTACAAAGTGAGTTCCAGGCAGCCAAGGATACACAGAAAATCCTGTCTCAAAAAAAACAAAACAAAATAAAACAAACAAAATAAAAAGAAAGAAAGAAAAAGAAAAGAAGGTTGGAGAAAATCAATGATACAGGCATTTTAAGCAGATCATTGGTGGCACAAGCCTTTAATCCCAGCACTTGGGAGGCAGAGGCAGGCAGGTCTCTGTGAGTTCAAGGCCAGCCTGGTCTTCAGAGCAAGTTCCAGGACAGCCACAGCTGTTACACAGAGAAACCCTGTCTTAAAAAACAAAAACAAAAGCATCTAAGTCTTTTAGGAGCTAGAGAAAGTACCTTGGTTGGTGAAGCACTTGCAGTGAGAGCATGAGGACCTGAGTCCCATCCCAGTGATGTGTCTCCACAGGTCCAGGCACTTATAATGCGAGCCTGATGACCTGAGTTTGGCTCCCTGGAACCCACACATAAACTCAGACATGGTATAGCATTCTCCTTTAATTCTAGTATGCTATGGTGAGGTGGGAGGTGGAGACAGAACTCCCTGGAAGCTATGAAGCTGTACACTCCCTGAAGTACACAGAGCACCAGGAGAACACAGTGGAGGATGAGAGCTGACTCCCGCAAAGCATCCTCTGACCTCGATACATGCACCATGGCGTGTGGACTCACAAGAACACACACATTCTGGGTGGTGGTGGTGGTGCACTTGGGAGTCAGAGGCAGAGTTCCAGGCCAGCCTGGTCTACAAAGCTACACAGAGAAACCCTGTCTCTCGTAAAACAAAATGAAACAAAACAAAAAAGAACACGTGCACACATATGCACACACACAAGAATAACAAAATAAATTATAAATTCAAGGTAAATAGAAAAAAAGCCATAAATAAAAATACAGTAGCAGTTTAGTTGAGCCAGGCGTGGTGACTCAGCCTGTAATCCTAACATTCAGGAGCCTGAGGCAGGGGGATAGTCCCCAGCTCAAAGCCAGACGAGGCTACAGTTCCAGACCCTGACTCAAAGCAAACAGACAACAACAAATGATAATGATGATAGAAGAAAATAAGAGTAGAGCTCAAGAAACAACAAAACACGCAAGTATAGAGAAAAACCAATAAAGCCATTATGAAATCCAGTAGGAAATCATAGGCTGGAAAAGCATATTTCCAGTGTCTACATCTGATGAGGGCTCATCTTCAGAACACGTAATGAACTTTTGTAAGCCTACAATAACTAATAACTCCACCTTCCCCAAAAGAAGATCTATAAATGGTCAGTACAAGAAGAGCTGCCCTCAGCATCAACCCGTCAATCAAAGAAATGCAAACGGATCAACGTAAATGGCAAATTATCCAATCATGCCCATGAGATGGATGCACTGAATGTTAGGTGTGAATCTCCTGGGAACTCGTGTGCTGTTATGACAAGTATAAAATGGTATCCGCAATGGAGCACTACTTGGCAGTTTCTTATGAAACACTTATCAAACTTATAGCCACAATTACATGGGAGAAATGGGGATGCACAAAGTCTACAGGAAGGCTTGTGCAAGGCTATTCAAGAAGCCTTATTCTTATTAGTGTTTTCAGCGACAAAACTGAAAGCCACCCCGCCAATATCAGCATGGAAGTGTGGCCCATTCATTATAAAAGAACAATATTCTCTATTAAGAACAAACAAACAAGGATCCATTCATATATAGCAACACAAAGCCTTCTCAAAATTTCAAACTGAGACAGCTTTTTCTCAACTCCACATTTAGTGACATTGCCCCATTTGGGGTTACGGGCCCCAGTTTAAGACAATTTGCTCTAGACCAGTGGTTCTCAACTTTTGGGTCAATATCTTGCCTATCAGATATTTGCATTACAATTCATAACAGTAGCAAAATTATAGTTATGAAGTAGCTATGAAACAATTTTGTGGTTGGGGTCACCACAACACGAGGAAACTATATTAAAGGGTCACAGTATTAGGCAGGTTGAGAATTGCTGGTCTAGACCTAAGGAAAAGTAAACACAGATGTACATGGACAAAGCCTAAAACTAAGTCTATGTAGATCAAACAGGTCTGGGGCTAGCTGCCATGTGCCTGTGCACGTGTGTGCCATGTGTGTGCCGTGTGTGTGTACGTGCCCACACAGGCCAGAAAAGGGCCCAGATTCCCTGGAGCTAAAGTCACAAGAGGGAAAAAGGGAGG